TATGAAAACTATGCTCTAAATAAGATGAAAATATCGTAACTAAATAACATATCCAAAAATAAAACACCTAAATCAAATTAAAAACAAAAATATACATAACAGAGATTGCCTAGTTCACTGGACGAACTTTGATAATTTTAGTGTTTTCACTATAATTATGAAGTATAGACTGTTACTAATTCTTGAAACTCTTCAACTGACAGTTGTGATGGCGTCACCAAAGTTGATCTTTTCATTTGATGGAAACCTACCCCATGAAAAAGCTACATTCCGCCAAGGAGCAATGATAAACTTAGGTACCAGCTTTGATGAGGTCAAAGTCATCCTCGCAAAAGCATGGTATGTGATCATAAAGACCGACTTACCTGAAATAACTGAACCAGCCGCTAAGTATGAGCTGAACAACAAGTTTAACCTTGCTGAGATCAAGAGGCTTAAAATCAAGGAAGCTTTCGTTAAGTTTGTTGCCCTCGTATCTTTGAAATCTGTTGTCCATGTGCCAAGAAGGGTTGTCACTTCTACTGCCACTAGATTCACCGTCACCTCACCAATCATTTCATCAGCCAAAGGAAAGAAAATTCTATATGTGGAAGATCCTGATATGTGTTTATGTCTGCCCAGTCAGTGTTTGAGATTTGGACTAGCTCAAGTGTGTTGTTGACTAGGGCATAAAGAAGAAATTGCAACAAAAAAAATTGGAAAGGAGTAAAAGCCAAGGCTGCAAGGTTGGCTTTTAGCAAGACAACTCCTCATTTGAAGGAAGTTAAGGAGCATGAGACCTCACCTTCATCAGTGGGAGCATATTTCACCTATTATCCGCTTCCACTGGAGAGGAGAGCATTTATAGTATTGTTGTTGTGTTGCCACAACCATCTGATCGCAAGAAGGAACGGGAGAGGTCCACACCTCTTACCCGAGTCCGTTCAGCTTTCAAGAAGTTAGTCGAACAATGTTCCATCGCTTAGCTTTTGAAAGGAATGGGATGTGTCGTATCCCCGTAGATGAAGAAAGAAATGTTGAGGAAAGACAGGCCTATCCATTAGTTTTAGGAATCACAACAGTCTTTTCTTCATGCTAGGTTCCACTCTGGATACCGTGTCAACACCACTGTCACCGTCATGGATACCACCATCGATAGTCAGAGACCTACAAAACGTAGATCCGCTAAGTCTCGCTTGGGTTCGAGAGTACTACCTGTCGTTGCTAACGAGGAATCTCCAAGGAGTAATGGAAAAAGATTGTTCGCTACAGTATCAGGTTCACAAATTTGGAGCACACTTCCTTCCTACACACCAATGTCACTGCTGGGACACCTCATCCCAAAACATCAGTGCCATAGAAGAAAGTGTGGGTACCTAAGGGCGCTGGATCAGTACACTTGGGAGAAGTGAGGACAATTTTCTCGAAATGGATTATATGTCTGAAGCTGCGACAACGACTGCCATAGATACTACAAGGATTACTACAAAAAGGGAAGAATTTCAAGAAATGCCGATAGATCTTAAGGAAATTAAAGGAAAGGAATTTGATGCCAAATTGGGAAAGCTCAGAGTTGAGATCACATAGTTGGCCAAAAAAAGAGGAATGGATTTTGATGATGAAGATACAATTTGTCAAATTATATGGATAAGGAATTTGCTACTATTAACATCTTTGACACCCGAGCCATGTCATCTGCGCGCAAAGCTCCACCCTTTGTTGAGGAGAACACCGTAGATAAATTACAAAGGGCTATTCAGCTAAGAGATGAGCAAATTAGCTGCATGGAAAAGTGAATGGAGGAGATGGCCTCCATGTACAATGCACGAACAATCACAATTACATTTTACAAACAAAAGGAAGATGTCACTTCAACCAACAAAGGTGAACCGTCAAGGAAAGAATTAACTTAGAAGATGGTGCCATAAAGTGATATTAAGTAATTAGTCGAGCAATAAGTAAAAGAGGCCTTAGGCCAATCGAAAGGGGACACATCAGTTCCAAAGGGTAGACATTATCTGCAGGAGTTCGATTTCATCCCGTACTCTAAAGGTTTTTTTCCAACGAACTTTAGGACTTTGAATGGAACGAGCACCCCCCCTATTGCTTATTGCACATTTCCGAGCTAACCGATGCAACAAGAAGGGTGATTAGGCATTACTTTTTTGACTATTTGTGAGCAGCCTTTCAGGGATTGCATTCGATTGATATGCCAAGTTTCCCAACATATGAATCAAAATGTTCACAGAGAGAATTTTTTTGTGAAGAGATTTGTCGGGGCTCAACATCATGTAACCATCAAGGATCTCATAATGGAGCATCAGAAGCCCATGGAGACATTGGTCCAGGACATCTACAGTGGAGAAACCTCAGCATAAAGTGTTAACCACAATAACAGGAGTGACACGCAATTGATGTCTTGTTTAAAAGTATTCATGGTCCGATAGCTTTCCTGCTTAAAAGAATTATCATTAAGGTGTTCAAAAAACTACTAAGTAAGGTCAGCAGCTTTGCAGGAAGAGGTGAAGCATATAGAATCCATAGAGAAGATTGAAAAGACTATATCAGGAAAGGCATATGAGAAGAAGTCCAGGATGGTGGCAGCGGTGGATAAGGGCAAGCAACCCATAGAGATTTAGTTAGAGTCATCTCAGCAACCAAAACAACGCCGTTAGTGGTACAGTCAGCCTGGTCAGTCGTCATCTCAGCAGAGACAGTATAGGAAAGATAGAGGACAGGGCCCATCGATGGCAGACCAGTTGAACAAGGTGCATTCCTTCAGAGATGACATAATGACAAAGATGTTCAGAAGTCTGATAAAGAAACCAGAGTTCAAATTTCTCGAGCCTAAAAAAGCCAGCAGAGGTCGACAAGAAGGATCAACCCAACTATTCCCCATACCATAAATTACTTGGGCACAACGAAGAGGGTTGCTTCAGCTTCAAGGATTGACTTGAGAAAAATTACAAAAATACAAACATAAAAATGTTGAAAGAATATTTAAAAGAACCTGAAAGAGGGTCTATAAATGTTATTTTGGCCGAGCCAATCTCTCCGATAGATTTGTATATAGTGGAAGATGGATGGTGAACAGTTTAGACTAAACCTTCAAGAAGATACTGGAACAGATTCAGGCTGCCTCAACACATACCTTATTCAGAGTCTACAATCTGCCAGACCAGTGCTCACCATTACACCAGAGAAGCCGCAGCAAAAGGAGATAAATAATAAGTAGACCGCCAACGAAATAAAGGACGATAGCGCGAGGAGTGGAGCAAGGGATGCCCCTGTTAGATTGGTTGTGTCAAATTTGGGGAAAATGCACCATAAATCCTTGATTTTGTATGATTATCTTTATGTCCGTATGGGATCTTATAATTTTAAAATTTATGATTTCGGCTATATTTTAACTCTCTAGTGATGACGTAACCGAACACAACCAATTTAACCTTGTTTTTGATTCAAAAAATGATCCTCAAATCACATAAAATTCTGATGAATACAACACCAAAGTTGAAGGAGACATCGATCACACAGGTTGCGATAGTTTGGAAAGTGAGGGACCAGTCCTCGAATGCCAAGGAACAAGATACTAAAATTTTCTTTGAGAATAAATGGTTAAGTTTAATGGGGAGATTTCTTAGGTAGTTTTAAATGCTTAAGATATAATTAATTATAGGAGCTCGCTTTTATAGGAGTGAGAAACTCAAACTCTCTGGTTATGAAATTTTCATGTGGTTATATAAAATTTACGGAATCATACACTTCCAAATTCTATACCACAAGGAAATCCTTACGACGACTTTTTTTTCTGTTTTTTTTATCTATTCTTTTCCTTCTTCTCCGAGTTTCTTAAATATTTCAAGATCACCTATATGATTTGAGTGAACAAGTCATTTGAAGAATAAGACAATAAAATAGCTAAACATATTGGCGACTCCTTTCGACAACGATAACAAACCAATGACATGACGGCGGGAATTAATGGCGATGGACACGTTCCGGTGGCGACACCGGCTCATCGGAAAACACAAATTATATACACTTTTCCTCTCTTTCCACTTTGGATTTTCATCGCTCTCTCTCCACCTACTTCGTATTCTAGTCATATGGAGTCTTCTACCAGATTGTATGTATTCACAAACTGTATCGGTTTCTACTTCCAAAATGGATTAAACAACTTTCTTCTTATGTGTTTACATATCTAACGAGTAAAATTCAATTTACGCACACACACATATATCTATGTATGTATGCATGCATGCATGTATAATATGTGTATTTTTTTTAAAAAATAATATAGTGATATGAAGTCAAGTGATATAAATAATTTAGATGGTATAGATGTAGATAGTGATGTTTACGCAAGGTATTTGATGTTTAAATACATAATTGTGCGGCAGGATCTAGATGTCTCTAAACTAAAATCAGAAACCTATTTAACCTGCCAAAACGCCCATCCACATCACGAGCGAATATTCACGACCGTCGGGCGACAGGGCTACATACCTGCGCACCATATCACCCCGCAATTGGTCGGGAAGCAATATCTTCTCGCGCACCCCTCCCGGCTTGGCCGAAAGAACCTTCGCTTTGCGCCCGTAACGCCAGGCATTTCCCCCCTCCTCGCCCCGTTTCTCTCTAAGCCATCGCCTTCGTGACCGAACCATCGCGATACAGTTGCTGGAGCTACCTACACAGACAACAGAAACTCCCATCTTTCTCGTCCTTCCGCTACAATCCTACCGGAAACCACTGAGAAAGGTAACTTCACATCGTTCTATTCGTTCGACGGGTGGGGTTCCATTTCCGCACTTTATAGCGAGGAATCGATCCCCACTTCCATAATCGGAAGGAAACGTTTTCTCATATGCTTTTTGGTCTCTGTCATTTGCTTGTTTTTTAGCTAGGAAATCAGAGGTCCAATCTTTCCATGTTTTATGCCTTTGCACTGGGAGTTTCTTGGGACCGCTACTCAGATAGGATTCTAGGGTTCCGATTTTGACATCCATGGGGACGTTCATGGGTATGGACTACTACAACATTCTGAAGGTGAATAGGAACGCTACCAATGAAGACTTTAGGAAAGCTTATCGAAGATTGGCGATGATTTGGCATCCCGATAAACACCGAGATGATAAACAGGTTGCTGAAGTGAAGTTCAAGGAGATCTCTGAGGCCTATGATGTGAGTTGTTATCTTTTCATTTACCGCAGATTTCGTTCTTTTTTTCTTTCTTGACAATCAAAAGTCCTTTTCTTACCTCCTTTCTTAGACGGCCATACTTGGAAATACTTAGTGTAACTATGCAATAATTGATTTCCTTTTGACATGTTTTTTTATCCTACAAGACCACAATGTTCACTTATTTGTAGGTATATTGCCACCACCCTTATATTTTAGGTTTTAAGTGATCCGAAAAAGAGAGCAATATATGATGAATATGGAGAAGAAGGCTTGAAGGGGAATGCACCTTCTCGTTCTCAAAGAACAACTTCATACCGCGCCGGTTCAAGTGGTCAGAATATTTTTCCATTCAATTCTAGGACTGCAGAGGAAATTTTTGCTGAGGCCTTTCAGAAAGATTTTGATTTGGCATACATGCCACGGCCAAAGCCCACGAGGTTTCGAGCAGAAGCTACAAACAGTCAGGGTGTCAATGTTGAAGCTGCAAACATGGCTCAGAAAGCACCAGCAATTGAGAGAAAACTTGCATGCAGTCTTGAAGAACTCTACAAAGGATCTACAAGAAAAATCAAGATATCTAGGAACGTCATAACGTCTCATGGGTACATCTTTGCTTCACCGTTGTTCTTTTTTTCTAAATAGTTTGTTATCTTATATTTACTTATTGTATCTCCTGATAATGATTGAATATTTTATTGTCCCCTTCAAGGATTTTATGATACTTGCAATTACTAGTTTTGAGAGCTACTTTATTGTTCTGTTGATTTCTATTTAACTTGCTTTTGCATTTTTTACTAACTAAATGTGTTACATACAAGGTGTTTTTTGTTTTCTTCTCCCGTTTTATCTCAAGTTTAATGCAGCGAAGTTATTGATTTGATTTTATACAGCAGATTAAACATTAGGACAAATACCTATTGTAATTTTAATAGTACTTTTATAAAGAACAAACTTTTAATAAAAATAAAATGGATATAAAAATGCCTAAAACATCCAATCCCTTAACGCCAAATATTGAGTTTCCATGAGACTCATTTGTTATTTCCCAGTGATCCCATTGGATAATGTATTCTCTTATATAGAAAAAAAAAATTAAGAATATGAGTTGTTATTGCTAGATGTCGGGACTAATTAAGTTGTTGATGCAATGTGTGCTAGAAGATAAGACTTATCATCTTCTTAATTTGGCCCAATATATTGCTTAGAGTTAGGTGATAGGTTAGGGCTGGTATGGTTGTGTTTTGTTTTCATTTTTTTCTATATATTTCTTATTATTTTTAAATTTTTTTTTTCATTTTCTATCAAAAAAATTAAATTTTGATGTATTTGTTTTCAAAGATAAACCATAAAACATGTTTGGATGCATAAAAAAGGAAACAAATTTTGGTTAAAAATGAGTAATGATAAGTTTTTTCTTCTAGATGTAAAGCAAATAAAAAATATTGGTCATGAAAACCCATGTCAAAGCTTTCCACAAACCATAGATAAAACCTTCCCATAATCAAATCTAGGCCAAATCAGAAGGGTTTAGAAATCCTTACACTGTTGCAGACTGCCGGTGGGTGCAGCAACAACAAATGTTAGGGAGGGGAATAATATTATAAGGTGGAAATGAAGGTGATGCTGACGAACCCAAGGTGCAACATTGGTATCAGTATCTAGGATGGGTATTAGATGTTCAACATAAAAGATGGGGATATTGTGCTTATGTTTTGGATAGGGGGAAAGGATGTGGAATCAATATATTGGAGACCACTAAAATCAAGATAGTAGTGTTTTCAATGGAAACATGAAGATTTTTTTCTAAAAGTGATAACAAAAATACCATGCCCAACATTTATTCTAACTTGTTTTTTAAAACAAAAATGGCACCAAGCATGCCCTTTACTGTTGATGTAGTTGCACCATGCTTAATATTTATATGCCATGTTTATTTTTTTCTCTATTGAGATGCTGGCTCCTATTCTATTTTATAGCCAGATGAAGAAACTTCTTATTCTAATTTGTTGAAAAATTAAATTAAAAGTTTTAAATTAATGTGAATTTAATCTGAGGATAATATATATTGTTGTATTAAGAAGATTTTTAAAATAGTTGTTGGAGATTACAAAAATAGTATATATTAGTAATAAGACATTGTTTGAGCAAGGGGTAAAAGGATTTCAAAGAAAACATATGCTTTTAAAGAATGGGAAATAAATGAGTACTTTGAAAACAAAGCAATTTTATGGCATTAAAATTTTATAATTACGTCAATAAGTTATGCAAAGTAGCAACTATTGAAGATTTGCCTAGTATGCTAACGCCTACAAAAATAGGAAAAGGTTTACATATTATTAGGAGACTAGAAAAATGAGATCTAATGACTAATAATAGAGTTAGATATATCTTGATTAAAGATTAATAAATTCAAAGGAAAAATGAAAACGTTATTTTGAAACGTTTAAAAATAAAATTTATCTTAGGAAAATTTTACAGTGTAAAGTTTATTAGGATGATAATTGAGTAAATAAGAAGTATTTTAGTACCATTATCTACGAACAAATGAGACTTGCATTTATTGTGGTAATTATATAAAAATCAAATATATGAGTCATACAATAAAGATATTCGAGAAGATATAAAAATCAAACTTATAAAAATCACAACAATCTAAAAAAATAATTTTATTCTAAGAAAATTCTTTATAATAGTGTTTTTTGTGGTAGGACGCTTATTGAAAAAGTATAAATAACATAAGATTTTTATATAATTCTATTGAGCTTGAGTATGCATTTAGTGTCTATCATGAGTATTGATTTGACGGCCATTAAAGAGAATGTTTGTGTCAAAGGTGTGTTTAAATAGTTGTCAGTGACTTTGAGTTTTAATAGCTTCATCATTATATTAAAGATTACCATCAAATCCATATCTTTTTTGTATTGTCTATTGAGATTATTGACAAAAGAATTCAAAGGAAGGTGCAATTATTTTTTTTATTTGTAGGTTACATGATTTTGATGATTGAGACCATTTCTTTTATGAAGTTAACAGTTTGTTGGAAGGGGAGGCTGCGGGTAATTTTCCTAGTAAGATTGATTATTGAAACGAAGATTGAGTTCATGAAATGCACTGTTTGCAAAATAAATAAATAAATAAATCAAAACTAGGTTTTGGGACTTTAAATATTGCTAATCTGTTATACTAAAAAGAATGTAGTAAAGATGACATGCATTCAAGAGCTAAAGTTGAGTGTTGAGAACAGAGGAACCAAGAGTTCAAGAGTAATTTTCTTAGAAAGTATAAGTTAATAGCTATGTCAGTGTTCACAACATTGCAAAATAAAAAAATTCTTCAATAACCATGTTGAGATATTTTGGAATGAGGACATGAAGAGATTGTATGAGAAAATTAGAAGAATCGAGTTAAAAAATGATTATCTTTGAAAAATTACAGGGAAACACTTTTTGAGAGTATGTTTGTTGAAAATAGATTGTTGTTTGACTTTTAAGATGGAGGTCAAAATATACAAGGTAAAATTGATATTTGGTGTTAATAAGAAAAACTAGTTCAGAAAAAGTGGTAGATAAAATGTTAGATGTCTTGATATTGTACAAAAAAACAAATAGAAAAAAAAATCAAAATTTTGTAGCACTTTACTTGAATGAAGGGTAGAGAAAATCTATTCCTTAATATTTGGAATAAGGCTATCGTGATGATGACTCTTTGTTTCTTAGAGGTTAAAAAATAATGCTTTTCTCAAAATATCATTTAATGTGCTAAAATATGCATAATATTTCCAGACACGAAGGAAAAACATAATACTTGGGATATTTTGTGAAAGCTTATGGAAGTATGCTTAGTTTGATTCCCCACACAAGTTGATTGTGCGTAGGATGGGGATGCGATGTAGGGCGAGTATTTGTCCAAAAGAATAACTATAAGAAATTGGAAACTTGAAAATAATATTGGTCTTTTACTAGTGGTGACATGAGTGGTTTAGGGAAGTTAACTTAGGGCGTGTTTGGGACGGCGGTGCGGTGGCAATGTGCTGTCGCACCGCAGTTCTTCCTGTTTGGCAAAACTGTGTTTTGCCTATGATCTCAAAAAACTGTTTTCCCATCAAACTTGGGTTGAAGAAATGCTTAATCTAAAAAATGAAGCAATGTGCTGTGATCTCAAAAAAATGTGTTTTGCCCTAACCTTAAGATACAATACTTAATCTCGTACATAACCCTAATCATAAACATACTTGCCTTATTTATACTTATCCAAAAAAATTGTAAAAGACTAAATTGCTCGACCGCTAATAAAAGATAAATTTTTCTTTAGGTGTCGATCTAACATTGCTCCCCTCTCAAAATAACACATTGCCTTTAAGGTGGCAAAAAATAAGGGTGTCATCCATAACTTTTTATCTATTTCTACAACCACCGCCTCCTCGTCACAAAATATGAGAACCTGTAAAGTTTGATTATTGCAACAATGTTCTGAGGTAAACTTCTCATTACACCGAAAATATAGTCCCTAGGCTTGCTTCTCCTAGATCTTTTTCTTTATAAGACACTTGAGTGTAGGTCCTCGTTGTGGCCCATGATTCTTATCATGAGAAGTCTTTCTTTTGACTTCCACTATTTTAGCTTTTGGTGTCGTCTTGGTTGTCGCAGTTCGGTATGACACTTTACCTGTGTTGCTCCTCATACCCCTTTCCATTGCATTATGATCTTTAACCAACTTCGCTAATTTTATAGTTTCTCCCAAGTCTCACGGGCTCAACGAACGAAGTGCTGCACATATGTCGGGCTTTAGAACCTTTTTGAAGTTTGCATTGAATATTGCTTCAGAAATTCCCTTAAATTGTTCCAACAATAGTTTAATTTCTCCCTATACTCCATAGTAATCCATTCCCGAGTCAATGCAAAGAATTGTTTGTGTAGGTCTCCTCGAATGATTCAAAAAATGTTTCAACAAGCATTCCTTCAATTCTTCCTAGATTTTGATTGGTGATGTTGTTCTCTCCATTGGTACCATGCTAGAGTTTTCTTTTCCAAATATAGGGCTGCCACCATTAATTTTTCTTCCTCTGTAAACCCATTAACAATAAAATATCTCTCCACACAATAGGCCCAACCATAAGCATCCTCTTCTTCAAAGATTGGCATCTTCAATTTTCTCACTTGCGAGTTTACTCAATTTTTTGGACCAAAGTTCATTCCCATAAAACAGGGATTGAGTTCCCTTCCTAGACCCATATTTAATATATCTGATTCCATAAGTTTAACCCGCCTCATAATCAACTCACCTTTCCCCATAAGCTCCAGAATTTCCTTCTGCCTATATGGTTGTTGCAATAAAAGACACTGGTATTGTTGGATGCAGCTATCTGGCGGTGTCCCAACCACTGTAGATTTTTGTTCCGAGTTGAAATCCTTCTAATTGATTTTTTTCCTTACCTAAATCGCTTGTCGTCCCATTCTGCTTGTTACCTCTCGTTCCCGTCTTGATGTAGTGCCTTTCCTTTCATGTGTTGGCGCTCGAGTCCGCTTCCCATTCCTTCAGCTAATGTCATAGCTCCATATCCATCAGACAACAATGCTGCTATAAGGTCGCATAAATTCCTAGATTGCCGTCACTGGCATTCATTCTAGACGCCGTCGCTCGCATCATTCTAGACGTCGTCGCCTATGTCGTCGCTCGATACCTCTTCAACCAAAGTAAGGGTTTGTGTAAGACTCCACAATCTTTTTTATCATTTTTTCTAGGGCTATGACCACCCCTCCAACCTCCCCTCCATGACTAAGAAAAACTCCTCTATTCCAGATCTAATTTGACTGATCTCTTCTACTAGTTTTTCCTCCAAAGCGTTCATATTTTTTGCTACAATTACTCCTTTACGTTGATATCAAGAGATTTGAAATTCCTGACCGCAGGTTTGGCGTGTGCAGAACTTTAGTCACTGCAATCTCAAAATTCTTCTATACAGTTCAATGGAACATTGGAAGCCGCGTGGAATTTTGGAAACCGCATTTGAATTCATGTACATCGCAGATTTCAATCATGAATTTCCGTCACAAACAATGTTGAACTCCTTTGCATTGTAATCCCAATCACCAATTTTGATCAAGGGCGCATAGCTCTTGTACGCCGCGATCCTTCTACTTTCATGTGATATGTACCTCGCTTTTAGTCTATTCACGGCCATGGACGCCGCAAGCCCATCGTTCCTTCCCAGCTAGCTCCAATCGCAACTGTATTGTGATATTAGGTCACGCCATGACCATTATATGCTTCTTTAAATCGTGACTATTTCGCATGGTTCAATCTCGAACGTCAGCGCCCGAAAGGTGTGATATGTCGTCACGCTCTGCTAGCTCTTATTGCTACTGTATCAATAAAGACTTTGACTATCTGTCGCTATCTCATCAATATTCCCAACGCATGAATGTCACAATCCCTTCGTTGTCCTCCCAGCTTGCTCAGATCACGACCACTTCGCTAGGCTATGTCACGAATTCGAGGCAGCAGAAACTGTGAAGTAGATCGATGCATTGATACCTCTTGATAGGAATCTTCCACAAATTTTCACAAAAGTTAGGGCACAAAATATTCTATTACGAGAACATCAAATTACTCCGCATAAATACATAAGCTAAGCAAAACACCTACAATTCGAGATGTCGACGATTTCTCCCAATTTCTACAATTCTAGAGGTAGGAAATCTCTCCCAAACGCTAACACTAAGACACAACACTCAATCTCATGCCTAACCCTAACCCTAAACATATTAGTCTGTTTTATATTAAACTATAATAAATAACAAAATACTAAATTGCTCGTAAACCTAATAAAAGATAAATTTGCCTTTAGGTGCTGATCTAACACAAGTTAATATTTTTTCTTAATAATCTATAATCTCTTTTTTTTTAATCATAGACAATAGTTCAAAAAGCTGTTTATAAGAAATAAATTCATATACCACAATAGTTCAAAAATCAGAGTTAACAGCTAAATAGAAACTCAGTGTCACTTCGTCTAAATCTATCAAATAATACGAATTATTTGCACTATTTATTTTTGCCACTAAGAAATTTAAGGACAATTAATTATAAACCTTTCTAATTGCCAATGTGCTTACATTGCATTTTTTTTTTTTGGTTCACCCAGAGAATCTGTGGCTCGATCAGAGATGCTTGTGATTGACGTGAAGCCTGGATGGAAGAAGGGAACTAAGATCACATTCCCAAAAATGGGAGATGAGGAAGCCAACATGATTCCAGCAGATATAGTCTTTGAGATTGATGAGAATCCACATGCTATGTACAAGAGGGTTGGCAATGATCTCGTTGTTCTCCAGAACTTATCGCTCGCAGACGCCATTGGAGGAACCACGTTCAAGCTCCGTACCCTTGACGAGCGTGACCTCACCATTCAGCTCGCCAACATAGTTAGCCCAGGCTACGAGCTTCTGATTGCCAATGAAGGGATGCCGATTGCCCGGGAGCCAGGGAGTAAGGGCCATCTGAGGATCAAGTTTGATGTTATTTTCCCTTCTACTTTGACAGAACAGCAGCGCACAGGCATCAGGAACATTTTAGAGTGCTGAGCTTGGGGACATCCTAAACTACCTGCAACAAGTGTAAAAAGTTTAGTTATATTTGTTTGAAAGAAATTTTTTTATAATTTTCTTTTGTTTAAAAAAAGTTGATTGGAGTTAGTTGTCTATTCTGTAGAAGTGATGATGACGGGTTATGAGGGCCTTTTTCTTCTCAATGGATTTGGTTTGCTTCTTAATAGTTATGATTAAAGAATGAATCATGGAGCATGTTTTTACTTTGCAAGGAGTGGGTTTCATTGAGAGGACGGGTTGTTTAATTGGATGATAATACACTGATGGAAATGATTTTTATTATTTTTTAATTTTCTGATTCAACATGAATTGTTTTTATTAATATTTTATTGTCTCTGTAAATATGCTGTTAGGAGTAAATGGAGCTGGTGTTGTGGCATTGGGTTTATTCTTCTAAATGGTTTCTAATGTCATGTTGACAGGTTTGTTCTTCAGTATATGGTTAAGTATTTTCTTTTTTCGTAATTGTTGAAACTAAGATACATTTTTTACATGGTACACAAGTAAAAATGGTGCTGGCTATTTCGTTCTTTCACTTAAATTTAAAGTAATTACTTAAGTTTTAGACAATTTAATCATGGTTGATCATGTTTAAAGATGGTAGAATACTGATCATTATGTCATTTTTTTTATAATTTGAATCATAGAGACTTTTCATTGTCTTGATCATTAGTCTTATCCTAACCACTGAATACTGTTTATGAATCTTCGCCTCATTTTTTCATCGCTCGTTTGATTCCTTGATGTTAGAAAATATGTTTGGGAAAACGATGAATTTTTAGAATTTAGAAGGGGTGAGGCTCTCGTGGTGTTAAAGAAAGGGTTTTTGTTGGTGGTGAAGTGTTTGGAAGGGGGCGTGAGGCTCTCTTGTGTGTGTGAGTTATGAGTGAGTCTTTGTAATGGGTGTTTTGGTGTGTCTAGTGGAGTAAGAAGTCAAAGAAACTTCAAAGGATTTGCTTAGGGAGAAGTTTCAGGTAAGTATTTTGTATTTTTCTATGAGTTTTGTTTTATTGTGAAGACTTTGATTTTTAATATAAATTATGTTTTTATGTGTTATCCCTATGAATTCTGGTAGTTTCATTTATCTTTCTCATTGCAATAAGAAGTAATCATTTGTATAATTAGAATTGTTCAAGATTTCTCTTATTCTATACTTGTGATGATTTATTACTTCATACTTCTTTTACATGTTCAATCTGATTAATTGATGTCTTAAAACTTGTGAATCAATTTAACCAATTAATGTGTTAAAACTTGTTGTGAATCCATACAATTGATGTCTTAAAACTTGTGAATCAATTTTCCTCAAATGTGTTAAAACTTGTTGTGAATCCATAATGACCAGGGAGGGCTGTGTTTTCCTCAACTAGTAAAAATCACATTAATCTTGTGGGTGAGAAAGTAATCCATGGGTTAACGCAAAAAGATAAGGAGATATGTTTTGATGGGCGTAAGTTTATGATTCTAGGGTGACAGGTTAGAACCTTAATTAATTTGATCTAGAGTTTGGAATCTAAGGATCGATTAGTCCTATAGAGAGGGCACAGTGAATAATCTAGAGGTGAGAGACTAAAACCTGTCCAGCATAACCTAAGAGTTAGAAATTTAACTTTAGATTAACCAATGTTCATTATGCACTCGGGAGGGTAAAAAATAATATTGCTCATATTTGACACAAAACTATATTTTAACCATCAAACATTTGATTTCTACACTGATTATGATCACCTTGCAATGGGAAAGAACCTTCACATAGTTTGAACTCTTCTTCGTAAAATTAGTTTAGAAATATTGCATTTTCTTTAAAGCTTTGAAATAAAATTAGTAGGAATTTAGTAAGCTTATTTTACACCTAAACTTGCTGTCATGTATCTTAAATAATTGTTTGGAGTTCAAGTAAAATTTTCCTACTTCATAATAAGAGTTTTGCATAAAAAAAGTTTTACCTTCTCTGTGGGATTGATACTAAGGTTTTAAAAGAAAATCCTATTTTACTTGAAACCATACGTATACTTGTGTAATACCCCTAGTGTGTAAATTATTTATCAAATTCTAAGTTCTATAACATATTTATTGTACACATTAGCCGCTAAAATATATTGGGTCAAATTTTTTGTTATCTTTTGATTATCTTTTGAAAATTAAATAACTACATAATTACAAGTCAAGTCAAGTTTTAGGCGCCATTACCAGGGAATGAAGGAAACAAACGAAATTTTTTGACTTAGAAATTTTATTTGAAATTTATACATATTTTAGGAGAATTGTAGTGAAGTTTTTCTTTATAAGTACTTGCTTATTTCTATAAAATATATAAAATAATAATTTTTTTTTAAAATCCGAAGAAATGAAAAAAACCAAAAAATTAAATTTTTTTTTTGAAATTTTGAGTGTTTTGTTTTATTTTAATTTTATTTTCTAAACTTTCACTTTTACATGCGTAGTTCATGATCTAAAGATATAGTACCTTATGATTATGAGCTAGAATGAACCAAAAGTTGAACAACATTATTAAGTAATAAACTTTTTATTTCCCAATGCACTCGAATTTCTTAAAAATTTCTTCCAGGTAGAGCTGTAGCAAAAATATTAGCATTTTCCGAGCATAAGAACGATAGGTTTTTATAAACTACCATTCATGATTCATTGAAGCAGAGTTTCATTATAAGATTCTAAGAAGCAGGGGAAAGCGAGTCAAAATAGAAAAGGGAAAATTACGTACATAACACCCAATTATTATGGATTTACCTCTCACACCTAAACTTTCATTTTTCTTTTTACCCACATAGCACTTTACCTATGGATGAAAAAGATGGATTTAACTATTAAAATGTGATAATAAACACTATTTTTCTCATGATACTTGTAATTATGAAAGTTTTGGTGTGAAATAGGTAAATATGAAAGTTTTGGGGGTTATGCATGTAAAAGACCCCATAAAAATTATCAAGAAAAAAAAATTATGTCAGAATATCTTGATGTATATCAATATGATTAAAAATATTCAAATTTAGAAAAAATTAAAAAAAAAAAAAATTAAAAAACAACATCACCGATTAAATTTATCTTAACATAATAATTGTATGCCTTCCTCACATAGACTATTCATGTTACAATGCTTCAAAATTATACAATTTTGTTTCAAAACATCATATCATTTATTTACTTGTTTTTTGCCCATCTTATGAGCTCAGGTCTGGATGCGTATCTTTGTATCGCTGGCTTATGAATGCAGCACATGTTATTGGCGGATGCCTAGAGATTAGTCAAAAGACTGGTAAATAGCTCTCTTAATTAAAAGAAACGAAAAATAAAACGAATGGCAAAAGAAAACAAGAAAGAATCAAAGAGCAGGAACCATGAAACTCTAAAAACATAAAAATAAAATAAACTATTTAAAAAAAAAAACAAATTGTGAAAGAAAATTCGAATCTGAATCCCCAACAGATTTCATGAGCAAATAACACACTCACCTGGGAGGGTTCATCTCCGAAGTGCACGACGGTAAACACTCCACAAGGTAGTCATGGCTCGGGTTCACAAAAAAGGCAATCTGTTAACAGTTTACAAAATTCATTTTTTGTCGGAAGGCCAACTATCTTAGCAATGCATTCCGGTTATGATGGCAGCTAGTGTTAAGGAAGCTATATCTTAATTCCACATAAATAATATGCCCAAGCAAAAATGACATAATCTAAAATAAGAACATTAAGAGCAGAAGGAAAACGACTTTTAAATACAGAATTACAAAATATTGATGGGCCTTACAGAATAGCGTTCTTGTCCATCCACTACAACACGGTGCAATGTTGATCTGCACACAAATATAAACTATGAAAATTATATTTAAAGGAAAGCCAATTATTGATATGTAATATCTTCAAATTAGATCAAACATCGCATTTAAAAAATGCAATTTGAATTTATGTTTGCTAAAATAAAACAAAGGGGTAACTCACTAAAGGTCTGAAATGTCTAGAATACTCGCTTGAACTGTTCACCCATAAAAAGAGAATACTTGATATTGGAATTAAAAACTGAAAAAATGCATTACAAGGTAAAATAGTGACTTTTCTTAAAAGATCAAAATAATCTAAGACCATGGTATAACCTATGAGCCAATTTTCCTTATAATTACTCCAAACATTAAAAGAATGAATCATAAAAAGAGAATTCATCATCTTTGAGAACATGAAAGCATGTTATTCTCTGAAAACATGAAAAAAAATTCGAGGAAAATACAAAATGTATCCTATCTTCCTCATGTTTTGTGGATGCAAAATTTTCTTGCATTATAGCTGGACAAGAACCATTATAAACATTAAAGCCTTTGTCCTCAAAGGTGACGAATTTGTATGCCTATGATGTAGAAATAATTTCTTATAACAGAAACATAACATGATGCCTTGACATTGGACATTAAAGCAGAGAAACTTGCAAGGTCAGGGCAGAAACAATGATCAAGTCGAAAAGTTAATGTAACAAAATATTGAAGGCTGGCTTTGATATTCAATAGCAACAGTTTGATAAACTGAGATTATGATCTGAAAAAGGAAAACTACCTAAGGCAGAGTCATACCTGAAAAAATCATTACTTAACCGCTCAAGCATTTCACCAATATTGACAATGAAACCTCTGAAATGGCAAAAAACATGTTTCAGAGTTGACCAATTTAATACATTCATATCTTATAATCATGAATGACAACTGAGATGGATTATTATCGTTCATCAGAATGGACAAAAGATAATTAAGATAGTTATGTTCATTCAATCAAGATAGTTCTGTTCATTCCACGCTAAAAGTTCAACACTACACTAAAGCTGTAAAAGTGCACTGTCATAATCATGACTATGGAGTGATAAGAAAGTCAATTCGTTAGAATTCGATGTGATGGCTCTTCAAACCAAACTCAAATGACTGCAGGAAAACTATAGATCCCAAGCTTGAAATTGGAAGAGTTCAGCTATGACTATAATTAGGTTCAGATTAGCTATGCATAATGAAAACCTCGTAGCAATGCTTAAGAAAAAATAACAGCGAGCTTTCTGATTGTAGATGAGAGATTAACCCTTTCAAAGGAGCGACACTTTCCCAAATCCGAGGTTGGGCATCCTTATCCTTGCATATCTAGCAAAAGTACAAACAAGTATTAATATCACTTATAAATGAAAAAAATAAATAATAAAATAAAAATAAATAACAGACAAAGGATACTTTATAGAGACCTAAATTTTTTGTATTACCTGAAGACCCGCCACACCATCAGTGGCCAAGAGAGTAATCAAACCAAAATCAGAGTGTGCTCCACATCCAAATATTCCCCTTTCAGGATCAGAAACTTTACCTGAATGACATGATTAAAATAAAAATCATGCACGTCCATCACAAAGTATCAAACAACTTGGACATCAGGGAAAAAATAAAACAAAGTCCTGTAAAGTGCCTTAATAACCTTCATAATGAAGAAGCCTAATCGCCGCAATGGGCTCGCCTAGCATTTGCGGTTGATCAAAGTAATCAGCCTCTAAATCAAGTGCAAGAGATATAAACTTAGCAATTGTCCTGCACACTCTCCTGTAAACATATGATAAATAGTCTGAGAGTCTAAAAATATGAAATTCAACCACTGCAACTTTGGCAGTACAATGCTTGGCATTGGTTTGGATTCTCATGGTCTATTCAAAGGAGGTTCAAATGAAATGAAATAACAAAACAACAACGATTTATTGTAGAACAAAAACGGCTAGCTTAAAAAAGAAGTTCTTATCAGACCCAAAGCTCCAGCCATATGAACAGATGGGGATTAAAAGGAATCTAGTAAAAAACCATCAGCAAAAGTAAGCATATAAATTTAATATTATCTAAAGTTGGATGCTTATCAAACTCTATCAACAACCTTTCTAAGTGATGGTGATTCGCCTACAGTTCTATGATTTCAGCTTCCAATGCCAACATTTGCAACGGCGTCAAATTTCTCTTCCACAACCTCATTCCACAAACTTAGGCTTTAGTTCCTTTGCTCCATTGATTCCTTTCCCATCACCATTTTCATGCCTTTCTTTTCAGCTCTTGTTATTTCTTCTTCCTTCGACGCCACCGGTAAAATCACAATACAACTTGGGAATTGTCTTCCTTGCAACACTATTCAGATTTGTTTGTTTACTCCATATCCGTGTGCACGGCAATGCCTCGACTTCAATATTTCTTGGTTTTGATTGTTACTAAGCTTGTGGAAGTGTTGATTGGAACTGTAAACAAAAGCAAATTACCAGTCGTTCTAGCAGGTTATATATCTTTTTATAGTTGAGAGATCCAAGCCTGTGCTTTATTTGCTATCAGAATTTAGGGCTTGTTTCTTCCTATTTTTAGGGCTTAATAAGGGAATTCCTCTAACATGCTTCAATATGAATAGGAGAGTTAGAATTAACAATAATTCTTAACTCTGGCTGTATGTTATCCTTTTACATTTGGGAGTCAACTCCTAATCAAAATACGGTTTTAAGAATTTTTAGAAGAGATGGTCTCCTCATACAAACGTGAGGCTAGATTCAACTATTTGCTTAGACTTCTCAAATGCTTTAGAGTGCGTCTTTCGGATGTAAAAGCCACACTTCCCAAAACTTTATGAATCTTATAACAAGCAAGCAAGCAAAAGCTATAAAAAGATGAATGATTATTTAAAAAAAAAAAAGATTAACATTGGAAAATCATTTGCTAAAACTTGCTAGATGACTTTAGAAAATTAATTTGAAAATAATTTTAAAGCCATTACTTTATAAATTCTTCACTACTAAATGCTTTCGGAAAATAAAAAATCCAATCTTCATAAAAAAAAAAAAAATTATTGAATTGAGCTTTATGGGGCCTCGCAAAATCATTGTGGGCATCTATAAACTATTAAGTCGCTCTGCAAAGAAACAACATGATAGAACTAAATAGTATTTATAACAAATCTAAACAAAAGTATATTTTAAGCAAATTTTAAAAATTGAGTGAGAGGGAGACGGAGAGCATGAAGGACCAAGACATTTTTAATTTTTTTAGGTCGAGCTCAACCTTGTTGCAAGCATCGAACAAGGGCAATTCAATTTTTCGGGATTCAAAACGGAGAGCAAGAAGGACCAAGAAATTTTTATTATTTTAAGTCAAGCTCAACCTTGTTGCAAGCGTCGAACAAGGGCGAGATGCTAGCAATTGAGCCGAGAGCATTGAAGTTATATGAAAGTGAAGTGGGATGCAGGAGAGAGAGCCAAGCCTAGATAGAGATCCAACCGTGGGAGTGAGTGGTACCATGATCAATCATCGGTTGTGTCCGGCTCGAGCCTACACAGAAGCATAGGATGGTTTTCATTGTGTTAACGAGCAAGATGCAAAAGTGAGAAGAACGAAGCCAAGAATGAATTAGAATGAAGAAATCCTGTGCATTAATGAGGTGAGACAGGCAATTTCTAATCTTTTAAGGACTATCGAGCTAGGAAAGGCGTTAAATTTGTCGAGATCGGACCCAGTGCTTCAAATTAATTAAGGCAGGTACTTGCAATCGGACGGCATTAACATCTAACTTACTATCCATATTTTTAAAACATCTAATATACATAAAAGAGCCGCTGATAATTCACAGTTACAATAAGGAAATTTAAGTTTTCCAACAGTAACAGAAAATCTACAAGTAAAATCTCAATCCACACAATCATATGTCTATCCAAAGAAACAGTACAAAAAAAATTACAAACATATCATACTATTACCTATCAGCTGCAATCTTCCACTTGTAAACCAAGTCTACAAAATTTAGTTAATTTGCGTAGTTTAAATATGAAGATTTACCTTATAAGTTCTCGGATCAATATCCTCTCTCACTATAACGTTCTCCAACTATGATATATTACATGTATTCATTTATGCTTTATACTTATATATGAAATGTTCATGAATGTGTTTTATATAGATATTATGCTTTAAAAAATATCACAAGTACTATGTTTGCAAGTATATTATGCAGGAATGTAGTATTCCCGGCCTCTATTATTTATATTGAGACAAAATTTTAGAATCATTGAGATTGGGCGGTGACGAACATTAGAGAACCGTGAGTATCAGAAGATCCATCTATAACTGTCATGTTGAGGGAAGCCCAACCTTTATCGATAGTTTATATGACCTTTGAGACAGGGTGAAATAGTTGAACCTTGTAGATTAAACAAGTGACATTATTATGATATAATCTTTATGAAATGACATTTCTATGATAATATACTATGAACATGCTTTTGATTATACTTATGATTTCTTGCTTATAATCTACATTTCATACTGCATTCTTGATTTTTTTATATTACATATTGTTACTCTCTTTTCATGTTCTCATGATTTGTGTGTAGACATATATAGTTTCATACGAGCATTCACGTTTTTTTAATATATAAAATCTTATGTTAGCTTTAATTATTTTTCAAAGCTCATTGTTGCTCATTCTTTTTGTTGCCTTTCAGGTATGGGAAACAAGCCGCGGCGATTATCCAATTATGTCTTAGTTTTCAGAGCTTTATACATATGTTTTGGATAAGTATTTCTATAATATTTTATTTAACAAATCTGTATAATTTTCATACTTTGAATGATATAATTTTCATGTTTTCTAATATGTATATGAATGGATTATGAAATGCAATGTATCACGTATGTTACAGCGATTAATTAGACCAATTCATCACCCAACAGGTCCTGATTATAAAAGTCAAGATGAGTGCTGGTGAGAGTTGGTCTGACCAAATTGCTAGCCTATATCGCAAGACAATTGACCCTATCAGGGGGATTAGTTAGGGTGTGACAATAGGTCTGTGATTGGAATCGTAATATTTTCCTCTATCTATCATGCATTGCCCTCAATCTATTGATAATTACCCAAATAACATCATAACCCCGACGTGATCTCGACAAACCAATAAAAAAGTCGATCGCAATCTCCTCCCATTTCCACTTTGCAATCGGTAAAGAGTGTAACTAACCTCCACGACAATGATGTTCTGCATTTACTAGCTGACATGAAGGATACTGACCACAAATTTTGCCACATTTCTCTTTCAATCCAGGCCACCAAATGCTTCTTTGAGATTTTGATACATTTTATTGCTTCATGGGAGAGTAGTCTAGTTAGATAAATGTGCTTCCTCCAAAATTTCGCATCTCAAATCTTCAACATTTGGAACATAGAACCTGCCTTTATACCTCAATAGACCATCCAGATCTAGCTCATACTTCTCTAAATTCTGTCTTAACCTACTCCAGAAATTTTTGAATACTACTATCACTGACTAAAGAATCTCCAATTCTACCCTTCAAAGTTGACCGTACCGTCAAATGATATTATTGAGCCATATTATCATCCTCATAATCAACTATGGATAGCTTCAACATCTCCAAATCTTTAATTAAGTGCACCTGCTGAGTAAATAAATAGTTCAAATTACATGAAGCTTTCCAGCCCAACGCATCAGCAACGACAATCACCTTCCCCGGATGATACTGAATATCTAAATCATAATGTTTAATAAATTACAGTCATCTTCTCAGCCTCAAGTTCAAGTCTTTTTGAGTGAAGATATACTTCAAACTCTTACGATCACAAAAAACTTTGCATCTAACTCCGTACAGATAATGCCTCTATATTTTGAGTACAAATACAATTGGTGCAAGTTCTAAGTCATGCATGGGATAGTTCCTTTCACGATTCTTCAATTGTTGTGATGCATATGCAATGATTTTATCATGCTACATAATTACACAACCCAAACCCGTCAAAGATGCATCGCTAAAAATATAAACCCATCAAAGCCGGAAGGAATGGTCAGAATTGGAGCAGACATTAAGCAAGTATTTAGCTTCTGAAAAGTCTTCTCATAATGATTAGACTAGTCAAATTTCACTGTCTTTTGAGTCAACCTTGACAACGACATAGCAATCTGTGAAAACCCTTCAACAAACCTTCCGATTTTCCATATTACTGAAATAGTATAAGAAAAATTATAATTAAATACAATTTAATTCCTTATCACTATTGCTTATAAATTAGAATAATCATCCTAATGGTTCTTTTAGATGATGATCAAATCTAATTGTTCTTATACCACTTTTTTCAAAAACCCAACCCAACTCGTTGCTTAGAAGTAACTAAGGCAGGTCTGCCGTCGGACGGTATTAACATCTAACTAACTATCTACATTATTAAAACTTCTAATATATATAAAAGAATCGTTATTAATACATAGGTACAATAACGAAATTTAAATCATCCGATAATAACAAAAAATCTGCAAGTAAAATCTAATTCCACATGACCATATATGTCTATCCAAAAGAAACAATACAAAAAAAAATTACAAACATATCATACTGGTACCTATCAGCTGCAGTCCTCCTCTTGTAAACCAAGTCTACAAAATTTAGTTAATTTGCTCAACCTAAAACTTTTCTTTTCCGGGAATAAAACATTAATTGTAACCATAAAAATGATTTAGTGAGTAATTATAATATAAGATGGATTAAATCCTTATATTATGCTATGCATGATTGCA